CTGCCAAGCCTTGAAGGAGGAAACAACCAATTCTAAGAGGATCTAAGGAAGCTTTACAAAAGAATTTGCATTTGAGTAGGAACTCGGCTAAGAGGGAAAGACCCACGCAGAGACAACACATTTTGCAAAGTCACAGAGGTAAGACAGTATCTGAAAACATTGAGGAAATACTAATTAAGAAGATTATGGGCGTGAGGATTGCGAACTCAGGAGAAACAAGGCTGGAAATTAGACCATGAGAAAGTTTGTGATGGTGCTTTGGAAATAGTAATTCATACTTGCTCTGTTGTGATCTGTTCGGTACATTAGAATTTAAACAGGCAAGGTATTAGGAGCTGTTGCAAGAGACGGGGAAAGTGAAGAGGACCTATGTTGAGAACTAAGTCCCTGTTGGGAGGAACAGAAAAGATGCAGTTGTTCAAGGATATTTTAAAGACACAGTGGGACTGAATATTGAATTCCCTGTGGCAACCAAAGGAAGAGAAAATAAGAACGTTTTCAAGGTTTCCACAAGACCTGTGTTTGTGATGATGTGAATAAAAGAATTTGGGAACACCAGAGGAAGAACATTTCTTTTTGGTGAGGAAGCTAAGATAAACTCGGTTGTTTTGAGTATTTGTGTTTAGGGGCCTCACCACCCTAAAACCTAAAACGTTGTACCCTCAAACAACATTTTTTTTTTTTTTTTAAAGTCTCTCAGGAGTCGATGTCAGTTGGGCTCAGCTGAGCAGTGCTGGTTGAAAAGGCAGCAGGGACTGAAGTTAAAGGCTGGGCCTCTTAGGCTTCACTCAGTAAGGTGTTCTCAAGGTAGTTGGACCTAACTGGTGCCTGGCTTCCGAGAGGCCACAGCTGATGCTGCCTGCCCTCAGAAAGGCTAAATCTAGACTTGGCATTGCATGACCCGCATAACTACTTCATACCCTACTGTCAGAGTGGCCACAGGGCAGTCCAGGTTGGGGGGCGGGGGGACAGGTGCCACATCCCAGTGGGTGCAGCGTCCACAAACGTGCAGCCATCACTACCCTGCCACAGTGCTTGTGGAAGGCATATGTGGAGATGTACTGGGGGACCAGAGTGAACCCTACCTAGTCTGGCTCTCCGGAGAGAATCAGAATTGGAAACGTGAGTGCAGGAATTTTGTGGGGGAAAGTTAGCAGTCAAAATCTTAAAAATGGGTGACTGGATCAGGAAGTTGAGACTAGACCAGGACTGCATTTACGAGAGGCGTTTGGCGGGGAGAAACCAACAGAGAGCTCGAACTCTAACAGCCAATCGGAGGACAGATGCTCCTAGCAACTGCGCAGGACAAGACAAGAGAGGTGAGGGGACAGGTTTGGAGACTGCAGGGCTGGCGGTGGAGGAGGTGCTAGGAGTGGGCGTGGGCGGCGGCGCCCCCTGCCGGATGGTGGCTGGCGGCTGGGGGAGGCAAGTGGGGGCTGGATTCAGTCTGGTTTGCCAGTTTCCCAGGGCTTGGGGAGGGGTCAGTAGCAGGGAAAGAAGACTGGAACACAGGGAGGACTGGAAGGGTGGCCTATGGAGGGCATCTTTGGCTTCTGGAAGGAGGGCGAGACAGGAAGACTCAAGCAGAGGATGTGTAATATGGTGAGGTATTTGGGGAGGGGAGAGGCTCAAGGAAGTCTCGGTGTTCTCTGTGAAGGTGGAATGAAACCACTCTGGGCCAGAATCAGGAATTCTTCCTCCTCAGAACATCTATAGGACATTTCCTCTAATGTTAGTTATGAGTGCACAAAACTGGAGAGAGTTCAAAAGAACTGGAGGTGAGAAAACAAGCGGTTGCAAAAGCCAAGTTTTGTTTATCTGTTTGCTTTACCATTTTTCCTCATTGTTTTGTTTTTAATCATGGATTATCAAATGAATTTAAAAGGAGATGTCATGAGCGCCTGGGTGGCTCAGTTGGTTAAGCAACTGCCTTCGGCTCAGGTCATGATCCTGGAGTCGCAGGATCGAGACCCACATCGGGCTCCCTGCTCAGCAGGGAGTCTGCTTCTCCCTCTGACCCTCCTCCCTCTCGTGCTCTCTGTCTCTCATTCTCTCTCTCTCTCAAATAAATAAGTAAAATCTTTAAAAAAATAAAATAAAAAAAATAAAAGGAGATGTCATAAAAGTAAACAGTTTAAAGCAGGAGGGTACAGTCACATGCTCACTAACTTTTGGAAAAATACTGGAAAAATATGGGACTAGCTATATTAAATGACAGTTAAATCTTTATCTTGCGGTGTATAGAGGGAAATAGGCTCTTTTTCCATCTTTTTTTTTGGTGTAGATTTCTGCTTTACGAAAACTGGTTAATTGTATGACAGCTTGAACATTATATATATATATATGTATATATACCAAATTACTTTCAGCCAATACTTTTCCTGAATAGAGACAGAAATTCTTTGACAGAAAAATACTATGAATTAAGAATTGAGTAATTCAGCCTAAATAATTTAATCCACCAAATCTAAGACTATCATGAAGAGAAAAGGCCAGATAAACCAGCCTTTTGTAACACATGTACCATGGATAAGCATGCCTCCTTGTGTCAAGTGAAAACAGACAAAAGTCTACTATTGCTCTTGGCCTGTAAAAGCAAGATGTTAATTTTTGTGTCTTCATCATGTCTTGCCTTTACTAGAGTAAGAAAAAAAAAAAGATGCATGATCAATGGAATTTACAAATATATTGTTTGCTCACAAGTAAAAATATACACTCCTTGAAGAGAGGAAGTATGTCTCCCATTTTTGTGCCACTGTGCCTGGCACAGAAGCTCTCAAAAGGATGGAGAGTGAATAAAGGAAGCATGAGTATTGAAATCAGCTTTATTTGGATATAACCTGAAAAATTATAAAGCAAAATTATAAACCAGGATGTAGGTATTACAGTGAATCTACTCTATACATATCCATCCCAGAGACTGTATTTTATACAATAACTGTGCAAGCACAGAAACTTCCACATGGATGGGATGGGTGGCTAGGTTACCCCAGCTTCTGACCTAGAAGCTAAAAAGTATTATTAAATGTATCAAAAATATTTTCCAGTATTCACTGGTAGAAAAAAATAGAAATTAAAGATTTTGATATATTTCATATTAATCTTTGCTATAAGCAGATGGCTTTGGATGCATATAGGCTTTCATGAAGTCAGTTTCCCTTCTTCCGTCTTGCTTTAGAGAAAGCAACAAGCAAGGCTTGGTGTGGTGGAAAATAAGCAGTGATTTCTGTTTGAAAACTGTCAGAAGACATTGAGAGTTTTACCATTTAGCTCCAATCACCACACCAAGAAAAATATATTAAAATAGATATTTTTAGGGTATATTATGTCATCTAAAAGTAAATAATTTAGAAATAGGACATTTCATTCCATGCTTAGAACCCTCCACTGGAATAGGTAATACATTTGATTTTATTCAAAGAAACAGATTTATGATATCTAGTTTGGAATATTCTATGTAGGCTAATACTTTGACTTTCATGATTTGGAGTTCTCACGAATAAGGTCCTAAACTGTCTGCTGAAGCTACTCTGTAATTTTGCATATAGCGTCTGGGTTCTTTTTTTGTTTTTGCATGGAGAGGGGGACAATGTCTCCAAAAACACTGACTCTTTGTCAAACAATGGCTACAAAAATTCTAACCGTTAGGCGCATATATAAATGTATTTCTGTGTGCTATATATGTATATGTGGTTATACATGCATATAGGTATTTATGCACATATACATTCTAGCTATGGTTTTGTTCTTTAACTTGGAAAACGAAAACGATGAGAAAGAGGAAAATGAAACAAAGCCACACAAATTGAGCCTTAGCGGGGGCTAAGAGACTAGGCTATTTATTTATCAGATTGGCAGAAACTGCCATGACCAAGGGATGCTGGGATACTTGCTCACCTACATTTAAAGGCAAGGCAAGCAAACTTCCAGGGACCCTTAGTCAAGCTGCCTACAAATCATATCCATTAGCACGTGATGCACGAGTAGGAAACCTAGGTTGACACACATTATTTTAAAAGTGCATATATATATATGTGTATTTGAAATCCTCCTAATGAAATGACCAGGTTTTTGGATTTAATGGCTAAAGTGACACTGAATGTTAGCAATGTAATTTTCTATTACCAACAGTAGCATCAATAATTCTTCAGTGATAAAATGTAAAGGGAAAAACTTAAAGAATGATAAATTAAATATTTTTCTGCTCCCTTCATCCTGTAATATTACGTCAAGTGTTTGAACAAAATACAGAACAGTCACGGGGTTGTGCAGGGTACTGCTCATTCCAAGAAGTCTTTATCCCACATCAAGGTTAAAACTTCAATGAGTTTCCATTGGCTGAGTGATTGCATAAATTAATGTCATTCAGACCAGCTTTAACTTGCACAGCTGACTTTGGAAATGTGTGACTAAGCTCCTAAATTGGCATCGGAGGCACATTTACGGGAGTTGCCTTATCTCTGCACCACTTACTGCCTTTCATCCCCCCCTCACTTCCTCCCATTATCATCATCACTTTCATCACAGGCAGCTGAAGTTTCTCCTTCAAAATCAAAAGCCCTTGGAGAACAATCCTGCTTAAAGCTATGGGCCGCTGAAAATGTGTTGTCTCTTTCATTTACATTTTGATTAAGTGAAAGTCTCTTAATTTGGCCATTATCAATACATAAATCTGTAGAGAAAATGAACATGCATTTATAATGCAGCCAACATTACATGATTTACTGTTCTTATAATGTGTAAATACAGAAGGGGGAAAAAAAAAGTCCAGCTCTGAGGTCCCCTGGACATGAAGCACTGTCAGCGACTAACAGGGCAACTCACATCCTCTGTGAAGGCAAGCCTCAAGCTCCCCGTGTCTCATCGCATCATTATTTCAACTGAACTAGGTCTCCAATTTTAAAACCATCACACATAAATCTGTCTACTCTACTTGACCAATCTTCCTGTGGGAAGGTTTGTGAGTGGTAAAATGAAAGGCTCAAAATGGGTTTCCATACCTGATTGTGGACTTTGTTTGGGGATTTTGGCTACCACTTGAGGGCTGGAGGTGGAGTGCATTCGCTGGTTGGCAGAGCTGTGGATGCTGCTGGGAACAGCCGCTGAGACATTCTTGCGAGGCTTCATATCTTGCAGCCACATGGGCGAGGCTTCGAAGGCCTGCATCCTCCTGGCATGGCTGTTGGCATTGACTTTCAGGTAGGCCTGGGCTTTGTGTTCCTGTAGCTCTCCGTAATTGGCATCAGTCACCCTGCATTCATATAAGCCTTCATCCTTTTTCCTCACTTTGGAAATCTGAAGCTTGTGAGAGATGTCATTGCCTTGGACTTTCACTGTCTGAAAAATTGCAGGTAAAAAAAATAAAGTGCTACATCAAACGGTTTTGTTCCCACATTTGCTCCTGAGCTTGCTAATGCTGGAAAATTAAAGGGTCTTAATAGCCTCATAGCCACAGTCAGAGAACTATTTATTTTCTCAACAGTCAAATATGGAGGTCATATTTATCCCGTTGCCCTAACAACTGGCTTCACAAAATCATGGAATAATTAGTTCAATCCAGCCAGCACCAGATTCTACTAGCCATGTGGTCCTCATTTCCCAGGTTCCAGGAACAGTCCTGCCATTTTCCAGCCATGAGATTGACCTCTGCCTGGATAGCTCAGTCAAATGAAGCACAAACAGAATTTGGTAAATGATTCAGTTTTATAGCCTCTTTTCTACAGGCTACAACTCTGAGAGATCACAAAATTATTTTGTTGGTCACAACAGAGTTTGAGAATGTGTTTTTATCCCCGCACTGGGATGCCTTACTAAAGGTACTGACAAGAATAGATGTGAATATTTAATATTCTACTCAAATGTTTGGTGCAGTCTTACCAATAGTCTTGGGGTGGTATGGCTCAGGGTACAGATTAAGGTCACCTGGAGTCTTATGGTCAGAATGCATACCCCCTGCCATGGTAGGGTCTTTATGCTACTGGACCTGGTGATGCCATCAATCAGACACTGGTTTGATTTTCAGAATTAAAACTGGCTCTCTTATTTCTTCTAATAATGTTTATGCCAGATCAATAGCAAAATTAAATATAAATATTAAAAGATTATAAGTTTGTATCATGTGTAACATACATGAACACATGTATATCCATAAATGTCCTTATCAGAACAGTTAGATTTTACATCATATATTATCCATGATTGACAGGATGATGGATTTCATAAGACACTCAGGATTTAAGGATTTGCGGGATTTTGGAAGACAGAGCAATGAAGTAAAGAAGGCATACATTTTCAAATGGCCATAAGTAATTAAGAAAACTAGGGAAATGTTCATTGTGTTTTACATACAGAGTTATATATACGAATAGTTATCAATATGTGAACCATAACCATAGTATGTATTTATTTGTATGCAAAATTACATATTAAGATACTCATACTATGAAAATAATGGGGAATAATAGTTTCAAATATAGTCTCAGTTGAGTCTCCTAATAAAGTTTGAGATAGTTGGAGTACTTATATGATTATTATGTTACAGTAGAGTAAACTGAGGTTTGGGGGTTTGGGTCCTTGATTCTCAGCATTGACTGTACATTAGAATCATCTAGGGAGCTTTAGTAAATGGTCTCATCCGGGACACCTGGGTGGCTCAGTCAGTTAAGCTCCGACTCTTGATTTCAGCTCAGGTCAGGATCTCAGGGTCCTGAGATCAAGTTCCACACGGGGCTCTGCACTGGGCATGGAGCCTGCTGAAGAGTCCCTCTCTCCCTCTGCCCCTCCCTCCCCTCGCTCTCCCCCTCTCTAAACTAATAATAATAATAATAATAATAAAGAAAATGGCCTCATTCGGATTAATGTGGAAACATTAAGCTTGCATCTCAAGGAGGCACAGCTCCTATCAGTGTTTGATAAAAGCATTCCTGAGAATTCTAAAGTAACAACTGCTGGTTTAAGACACATGACCAAGGTCACCTTGTTAAACAGGGAATAAACTTCTTTCTGTGTCAGTCTGTAACCAGAACTTTTGCTGATGCACTAGATATTATGAACTTTTAGCATAGATAATACTGTTAGTGGTTATGTGCATGATCATGTATCTTAACTGTATGGCTCCCTAGTTCAGGATGTGTGAGGCTATTCCTTACTGGTCTTTGGAGGATATAGTCATGGCCGAAGGGTGAAGCATGAATAGTCAGTGAACAATCTAGCCACTACATATATGTATAAAAATGAAATAGTTAAGGTTAAGTATTGTCAACAATTGACTTTACCAGTAAAAGCTTTCTAGCACTGTATGAAAACAATAATTTCTGTAATATCATAATAATTGAATTGAAATATTCTAAAAAGTGAGTTTATGAATATAAATTGTAGTTTTTGGTTTATGTCTTATTTTTGTTTGATATTTGCTTCCATGTTGAGATTATACACTTACATCACAGAATTTGGTTCTATTAGTACAATATATTTTCATACTTTTAGGTGTGATATAACTCCAATCTTATACCACTTCTTTACTATTGTAACAGCTTCAGAATAAATTTTCTTTTTTAATATAGGTCATTGGATTTTTAAATTCTTAAAATGAATAAATAATAAGAATATATACTTATATATATATTCCTATGTATAGCATATACGCTAAGCAGACCTTGTACTTTCTGACTTTATATAACTATTTCATTTCTAGTAATGAAAACTTGCTTACTATTTATGAATGAGTTAAGCAGTTCTATCAACATAAAGTGATTCTAGGAGGCTTCATTGGTGGTGTAGTAAAAAAAAATACAATTTTCTTTTTATTTCTAATTTCACATAGCATTATTTTTTTTAAAAGATTTTTATTTATTTAATTGACAGAGAGAGAGGGAACACAAGCAGGGGGAGTGGGAGAGGGAGAAGCAGGCTTCCCGCCGAGCAGGGAGCCCGATGCGGGGCTCGATCCCAGGACCCTGGGATCATGACCTGAGCCGAAGGCAGTTGCTTAACCAACTGAGCCACCCAGGCGCCCTTCACATAGCATTATTAAAAGTCAAAATACATCTCTATTTTCAATAGGTCAACCTCCTCCAATTATGTTTTATATTTACATTGCCTTATGGTTTTATATTTATATGATTTTGAGCATTGTCATTAGAAATACATTGCATGCATTATGAATCACATTGAAAATTGAGTTGTTTTCAATACAATTTCAACATCCTGTTGAATTTTTTCCTGCCTGGGAAGATTTTCATAAGTTAGTGTTTTACTTCCTATCAAAGGATAAGTATTTCTGTGATTTTGAATGAATATTAGTATTAGCAGTATTAGTATTAGAATATTAGTATTAGTATTAGTATTAGAATAATATTAGTATTAGAATATTAGTATTAGCAGTCCTACATCCTACAGTTATGTAAGTGCCAAAAAGAGAAGAAGAAAGTGTCACACTCCTTGGCTGGCAAATGATTCTCTAGTAATTGTTTAAATATTTACGATATTGAAATAAATAATTTTATTGTATCAACTCTAAATCTGCTTCAATTTTTACGTACCCAGTAAATAAGAAAGAGAAAACTGGATCTCGTCTTGCGTTCGTGAAATTGCCTTTTTCCGGGACAATAAGTTAAAAGGCTTTTAAAAACCTAAAATTCCCCTAATTTTCATCTGGGGCCTGCCTGGCAGCTGACAAAGGCAGGCGCCCCCTGTCGCCTGTCGCTGTGATACTCACACTGATCTTGGTCCCGTCGTTGTCCGGGTCTCGGTCGGGCACCAGCTCCACCTGCGGGAGAAGGAGACGATGCTCAGACTCGGGACCCTGACGGTCCTCGTCCTGATCCGGAACGCAGCCGCGCCGAGCCAGCTCGGCGAGACTCGGCGAGGCTCGGCGAGACCCCGTCGGTGGTAGCAGGAACGTCTCGGTTGGGGGGATTTAGAAAAGAGACCGGCGAGGGCCAGCGCAGCCGCAGCCGGCGGGTCGGCCGCGGAGGCCAACGGGGCGCGGGGCGGCGGGACCGCGCGGGGGCGCTGCCGAGCCGCGCGCGCTGGGATGTGGATCCCGGACCCCGCGGGCTGCTGAGGGCCGGACTCCCCGCGGGGGCGCGGGCGCGAATGGGAGTTTGCGGGGACAGGAGTCTGCGTCTTTGCCCGGCCTGCCTCCCCTCCCTGGGGTCTCTTCCAGATTTTCTTTTTTCGCTTGGGCAAGTCCGCCGCCTCTTTTGCTGAACTGTTCAGTCTCGGCTCTGACCCTCTCTCTCCCGCCTCGCCCCGCGGCTTCCCTTTCCCAGTCCCTACTCCTTTTCTCCACCCCTCCCCTTCCCCTCCCACCCCTCCCCTCCGCTCTCCTCTCTAGTGTGTTCAAGAGTAGCCTCCGCTCCCCTCCTTCACTCACTCCCTACTCCCTCTACCTTCGCACCTCGCCCCCTCTTTCCGCCGCCCCTCCTCTCTCTCTCCCCCCCCGCTTTCTTCCCCCTTTCCCTCTCTCCCACGCCCACCTCCCCTTACCCCTCCCTTTCCCTCTTCTCTCTCTCCCCCCTCCTCCCAATCTTCTTTTCTCCTAGCCCCAGTCGTGAGAAGAACTGACAGGCGTGTGTGTGTGTGTGTGTGTGTGTGTGTGTGTGTGTGTGTGATGCAGACAGAGAAATCCCTCCCGACCCCACCGTCCTGGAAGGGGGACAGAGAGTGTCCTGGGCTGTAACAATACGGTAGTCCCCCCCTATTGACAGCTTGACAGTAGCCGGTACTAAAAGGAGGAGGTTATTCCCAGTTTTAATCGGGAAACACTCCACAACACGACTTCCTCCTTGGTTTTCACGTAATGTCACCAGGACACATTCCGGCTCACTCCCTGGCATCACTCACGCTAAGAGACCCAGGCGGTCCCCAGGGGCGTCCAGTATCCCTGGCTGCACCTAGAGGACTAAAGGGGTGAGTGGGACAGACGCACGCGGCGTTGCGGGCGACGCGACTCGGCTACCTGCGCACCAGCCACCTCGGCCCCGGGCTCCAAGTCCTCGGGCCCTCGCAGGAACCACCACTGGATCTCCAGATACACCGAGGCAGAGCCACTTTGGAAAGCGCAAGACATCTCCACATTCTGCCCCTCGGTCGCCGTCACGTTCCGCGGAAACTCGGTAAATTTTGCTGCAAAACAGAAACGCATCGTTTTGGAATACCCACACCACTCTTGTCAGCGTCTCGTTCCTTGAGAGCTCTCTACATTTTTCCTGGACTTAAAAAAAAAAAAAAAAAAAAAAAAAAAGGCAACAAAACCCAGAACAGTCATCTCGGACTTTGCCTGGTTCCCCAACCCCCTTTCCTTTGCCCCATTCATGTCCATTTTTGGTATCATGCCTAAATAACTTTGTTGTTGATGAAGT